ATGCAAAGTTCTGCTAGCAAAACTCTGTTCCCGGCATTTCTGTGAATATTACTTTAACATGCTGGCTTCCTACCTAAATGTAGTTACAAGCCAAGCACACATCCACCATGGCAACGGCACTCCCTGAAGACAGCTGCCTTTCCAAACTGCACAGATTCCAGCCCAGTCAAGCTTGTAGACTTGACTGGAATCTGTGGAGTGAATCTCCTGGGAAAACCACAATCCATGGACCATGAGACAAACTGGATCCAAAAGATCCTCTGGCAATGCTGGACTGCCAGACAGATGACCAAGATCCAGTGTATCAGAGATGCTTTCATGGCATTAAAGTGGGTCTGCCCAAAAGTAGGCAGGTTGTTTTAATGTTGGAGCTGTATCAAGCAAAATCTCAGCATAGTAAACGAGGAAATTAAGAGCTTTGTCCTACCGTGTGGCTACTTCGTTTTTGGCTGTCTGGCTTTCCAGCTCTTTCTTTGCTACTTTCTTTGTGCCCAGTAATAAAAACAGGTGGAGAACTGGCTGAATTTAGATTAAGATTACAGCTGCTGGCTAATGTTCACTTTCATGCAGGCTGTGTCGCCTAAATTCTATATCCTTCCAGAATATCTGCAACCCTCTGTCGCTGAAAAATGTACTGTTTTAATCTTCATGCGAGCATGGTTCAGTGACATGGCAACTAGTTTAGCAAATAAGGTTATCCAGTTACAAATGTGATGTAGAAAGGCCAGAATTTGTGAGTCTATCTGTAGTAAAATATGTTTGTCTTGAGAGAATAGGGTACACTTTAATGATAACTACACAGTAGCTCAGTTCTGTCTGTCAGCTACAGAGGTCAGACCGTATGGCTTAGATTATACATGTCTGTAATATACTAAATCAATGTGTGGATCATGCTGAAATGCCTCTCTCAGTTTATAAAAACAGTGGTTATAATTTTGAGTTTCTCAGATACATTTACGCCTATTCCCAGATCTGTGCTTTCATTGCATTATCAGACCTGTGGCTATGCTGGCTATCCAATTGTTTCATAAGAATGTGTGAGTTCACGTCACTGCCGCGTTCCAGTCCACTCAGCGTGTGTGTGTGTGTTTGCATTTCTATTATGTCACAGTGATGATGTGACACTGGCAGGCAGGCTTACAGGGGCCTCAGCCCAAACATCCCCGTCCACGCTGAACATGCCTAGTCACACCAGGTTGCCGAGAACCTCTGGATCACACGGGGGCTTCTGGGTAGCGGGATTATCCCGTGAGAGGAAACAGCTGAGGCCTGTGTAGCGTCAGCAATTGCTAATCAACACTCTCACCACACACACATGCATGCACACTGCCACAATCTATGGTTTCCCTTAGTAATCCCCTCCTCCTTTTTTTCTCCCCAGTCTACAGGGGTCACAAACCCACAAAGGCCCGGGCCCACAAAAGTCAAAAGGGGCCAGGGGGGATTGAGGGTTGAGAAGAGGAGACAAAGAGAAAACTGAAGTGCTGGGTCAAAGCTGGCCGGGCTGCTGAGTCATCACTGAGGCTGGCTTGAACTAATACTTTGCAAACATTTCCAGTAAAAGTTGATGAGCTGTCTCTTCGAATTTGCCTTGTTAATTTTGGGAAAGAAAATTGAAAGCGGTTCCTTCATTCCTCAGTTTCGACTGCACGTCACAGAGCTTAGAAGTATCAGAAACTGTGAGGTCCAGTTCTGCAACAGCATCGACGTCCTTCATGTCGGTGAGATCATTTGTGCATCTTGTCCCAGCTGGATTTGCGACAAAAACAGTAGGCCCTACAACACATCCTTTCACATCCGGCGGGATCGAATTTGCTGAGCTCACTTGCGCACACATAGTTTGTAAAGAAAAATCAATCCGTAAAAAACTGGGCTGACGTAAAATGCAAGCCGATACATTACAGATGAAATTGACTTACTGGTCTGCAAAGAGACCGTTAAACATAATAAAGAGGTCATGTGTAGACAAACCACCAAGAGAGCAGCACTATAAAGTTAGAAAGCTGCAAGTTGTACAAGTTAAACATTTATCTGAGTTTAAACAACTAGGCCCAGTTAATGTTGGCAAACTTTAACACTGATGTCTTATTTCAGGACAGACTGGGCTAATAAAAAAAAAATACTGCAGTATTAAAAAAAAAATTACAGGGAATTTGAAGTTGTATCAACACAAATGTTTTTGGTTTTAACACAAAATGTGTGCATCGTCCAATATCTTAGTATATCGTCCATTCAGTGTCCTTCTTAGTACCTTGCATCTTTTGCCAGCAAGGATCAGTGCTACCTTCAAACGACCTCTAGGGGCAGTGTTGTACTACTTTTCAAGAGATGATTGGCTGCCTTTGTGCTTGCAATTCTCTTGTGACCCATTTGTATAGATTTTTTTTTTTAAGTAAAGCACTGGATAATGATTAGTCATTTAAACAACATTTGCTTTTGTATTTAGAGGATGCTTTGTTGTGATCAGTTGTATATGATCAGCGGTCAGTGAAACGCAGCAAAGGTGAACAAGTGTGCAATTGACCTACACTTATTGCGTGTACAGCTTTGGAGGGAAAACACACACAGGAACCACAGTTGTGTAATTTAGAACAAATGTTTATTCAAATCAAGAGGAAGAACTAGACGAAAGGTTAAAGCATTCAGAACATAGTATATTCATAGAATATCAATACATCATCGTGATGGGAAAAAAAATGAAAATGAAGAAAATTCTTTGAGTAATATTGCACTTTGTTTCTAAAATGTTTCAGATCCCATCTCCTACATCCCATCTCTCTGAACATTTCAGTTCCTGCCTTCTTCAGGTCAGGAATTTAGCTTAGTTTTGACACTGGACTACTCTGAGGCCCAAGCAAATGGACTATGGAATTGACCCACCTGAAACAAATATGTAAGCTTATTCATTACCGCGTAACTTGATTCAGTTTCCCTAAGATAAAACCCCCAACAAAAAATCGCAAAACAAGTACATTAGTTACCACAAAAAGAAAGTGTTTTGTCCCAGGTTACATAAATGTTTCTTGAAGGGAGAAGGGTGCTGATCAACAGCTGCCACTCCCTGGCCTGAAGGGGATCAGACAGGTCAGGGAGACCAACCCAAAAGGTTGTTTGTTAAAATTATAAAAACCAACCTATCAATGCCCAGAAATACATGGAAAAAGATAATAGTCAACCCTCATCAGCTTCAGAAAAAAAAAAAGAAAAAAAGAAGCCCGGCCAAAAAGGCCTTTTTTTTTGTTTCTTCGTTTAAAACAACCCTTGCTTTAAATGTCTTTTTTCTCTCTTCCCTTTTTGTCCATTTCAAAAAAAAAAAAAAAAAAAAAAAAAAAAAAAAACACGGAAAGGTCTGAAAACATACAAGTGTTAAACAAAGAGAAACGACAACAAGAGTTGCAGAGACATTGAAAAATGAAGCATCATGATCAAGTCCTTTCTGTGTCAAGGCCACTAAGATAAGATCACTTTAATAATCTGCAGTTCGCTGAGCACTGTCAGAAGCTGTACGGTTAGTTGCCAGCAGGATCTTGATAAGAGCATGCACACACCGAGCACACACACAAAGTTGCCTTAGCTACGTTTTGAAATGTAAACTTAGGGAAAGAAAAAAAAAAAGAGTTACTAATCTTAAAAAGACTGAATAATGCATTTGCGTCCTACACAACACCACTTTACTTAAAAATCCTCTAACACATGGTTAATACCAAGTAGTTATTAAATCCAGACCTTCACCACTGAATGCTACATTTTTTTCTTATTTTGTGTTTTTTTTTCCTTTCTTTTTTAAAGTGCTGCTTGTCATCTTTTCCTGAATATGCTGAACCTCTGTTACAGCTGGTCTTTTATCATGAATGAGTTAGGAAACCAATGTATTACTCATTTCAATTTACTACTACTACTGCTACGACTACTACTACTTGCTCTGACCAGCATGAACAGAAGTTTAGCAATATTCCCAGCATTTCATTTGTGCTGAATTTACTTTCTTATTTCAAAAATATTTTTCCATCTTTTCTTCTTTTTTTGGAATTAGCATCCTGGCTTCACTGGTCTGGTAAAGTCTGTAATGGATGAAGTGGGAAAGTGCAGCAGGACATAAAGGGAATGTGATTCGTCTCAAAAAGAAAAAGCTGCCTCGCTCCTCTGCAGGTCTGCCTCTCGTTTTGGTAGTGAACAAAAAACTTCATTATTTTTTCTAAACAGTGCAATTAAAACAAAAACCTCAAAACGTTATCTTCTCTCTCTCTTTTTCCCCCTTTTAACAAGTGAGAAGACCACCTGAGACAGTGCTATTCGGGCAGTTATGCAAGCCTGGCTTGCCCTGAGATTAGGAGTAGAGGGGCTGCAAACAATTAGGGTGAGTCCCTCAATAGGGCACCACTTTATGTCTCTCTCACACACACACACACACAAATTATACACACACCCACGCAAGCAAGCGCTTTTCCCGTCAGCTTCAAATTGAGTGGCAAAAGTCTGCAACCCTGCTAGTCCAAATCCAGAGCCACCACGAAGCTAAAATTGTTGCAAGCTTTTCTGTGACTGGAGCGAATACAAGAACAGAATAACAAGAAAAGCTCAACTCAAGAGGAGGGAAACCACAGATTCAAGCTTAGGAGGCAATGTAGTTAAAAAAAAAAAAAAAGAGAAAAGAAGAAAGCTTCCACATAAAGATTAAGTCTGTTGTACAAGTACTGTCTGGTTGTTGTTAGTCACAAGAAAATTAAAATTCTTAAACAACTTAAACAATTTCAGTGCATTGTTCTTGTACTTTTCAGTCTTTGTTTTGCTTTTTCTTTTTTTAAAACAAATCCTACTCTCAGCGATGCTCAGAGTGATGCAGATTTCAGTCTTATAGTCTCATAGTCTGGTGCGTTGCAAGGCTGAAACTAAACTATTAGTGATTATTTTTTTAAACTCTCATTAAACAGAGCCACACAACTCAAGTAAAGAACAAGATGTGCAAAACAAATCCATAAATGAGGCAGAAGGACCTAGTATTTGCTTTTTTTTTTTGATGACTGATGCTGCTGCTGAAAGCTTACTTTCAGGACTACGGTGGTGACACCTTTTTCTCTTCATCCCATTTCCTTAAGGTGAGTTCTGCTGATGAACGGACATGACAAGTTCTGTCCTTTGTGAGAGGAGCTAAGTCCTTATGTGCCACAGGTACAGAAGAGTCAGGGGTGAAGAGGAGCTTGGCAGGCTGAGCCGTGGCGGTTCTTCCTCGTCATCGCCGTTGTCAATACCATCACCAGGGCTCGCGCAACTAGAGGGGTTTTTTTTACCCCGCCCTCTTCGCATACAGAATGGATACATGTTCATCTGTACATATGTCACCCTCAGCAAGCTGACACAGGAAAGGAAAGACACCCGGAACTGGTGACTCCCATTTCTCTTGCTGAGGGAAGGCAGGAACAGATTCGTCCAACCCGACTCACTCATTTTTGTTTGGTTTTTTTTGGTTGGATATTCTTATTTTTCCTCTTATTGTCAACAGCATTTTGTAAATGCTGTCAGCTGAGAAAATAATCAAAGCTGAGCCTTACAGCTAGGCTTCTTTGAGTTTCCCCAAACATCTCAGGGGAATTGCTGGGATATCCTCAGCGTGATGGGCAAGCATCAAGTCTGCGCTCCTCTGTACGGCTGGCATGATCTGGGTTAGGATCAATCTAGAATGGGGGAAAAGAGGAGAAAAAAGGTGTTTATTCAAGGAAACAAACTGTTTTTGAGACTCTAAAGGAAGGTCATTTGCCATTTGGTGCTTACCTCAGAGTACAGAGGAGGGGGCTGGAAGCGGAATTCGTGAATATAGGCAAAGAGAGGTCCGTCCAGCTCCTCGCGGGCTGCTGGGACATCCAGACAGCTCTGTCTCTGCTCTTCCGTCACAATTTCAGCGTAGCTTGGAGGAGCTGCAAATGAAGACAAAACAACAACTCAGCATTCTTGCGATTACGATCCTTTGATTAAAATAGAAAAAGATGCTTCATGACAATGAGATCAAACGTACCTTCCGGCCTTTCAGGCAGACCCATGCCCAGCCAGCTCATGCTGCACTGGCTGCTGACGCTGGAGGTGCGAGAACCAAATGGGTGAAGAGGGATGGTTCCGATGACAAGAGGAAGGTTCAGGGACAGGTTGATCGCTCCAGGTATGTCTACATACACCTGAGCACAGACATAAGAACACCACAACAGTTTAGCATATGCAAAAAATAAAATAACATGTCATACAGGGTTATAAAAAATGTAAAAGGACTATGGTCAGTCTAATAAAAGGCTCTGGAGCTGAGCAGTCAGCACAAAATGAAATGGCTCCTTTATCTTCTCAGAAGTACTCGAACCAGGACTGGGTTAATTTGACAATATGTGGGTCACTGTCATGAGATCAGTTGCTTACACAAGGTATAAGCAACCTAGCATTTCTGTTCATGGTGTAAAGCAGGTATAAGCACCCTGATGGCAGGTGCTGCCACAGATATTCTGGGCTAATGCTCTTAGCTGCATGTGGAGATAACAACTGGTGCAATCCAAGGCCTAGTTTTGGCAATGTGAGCTGAGTCAGCCAGGTGCTTTACCAGAAGAGATATTGACTTAGTAGGAAATATAACTTCTACAACAGAATGGCACTTAAAACAAGTAATAATGTGGTGGTGGTAAGGTCAGGGGAGTGTATTGGAAGTAGCAAGACTTGTGTTTCCAAATCTACAATATCTGGATATACACTGAAAGATTATGTGAAAGTGATCTAAACGCCTCATTATTGTGCTCACCATGAGAGAGTACTCCACTCTGATAATGCTGCAGTCCAGGATGGAGGGGGAGACTGGCGGGATCTTCAGCATCTTTCCATTCCACGTCTCCGTTTTGCCCGAGGACAGAGATTCTCCCCGCAGGTTAGCCACAAGCTGTTTGACATCCTTCATCTTCCCTTTGGCGTAGAAGGTCTGAGTCTGGTAGATGGCCGCCTTTGGCACGACCATGCGTGATGAGCAGTTCTCGATCTCAGCAAAAATCTGGATTGACTCCCCTATGGAGTTAAAAGGACAGGAAGCAGGTTAGCTGAAGTTTATCTACATTTATTTATCAGGTATGTTTTTGATAATCAATGCACAAGCTGCAGGGACTTCCACTTGCTTATCTGGTTACGAGATAGCTAAGAAAGTCATTAATTATTCACTTATTCTTACCTGGGGTGTATCCTTTCCTCTCAATTTTGGCACTTAGGGAAATAGGACCTGAGGTGCAGAACCAACAGCAAAGTGTCTTATCTTTTGTGCCGGCCTGTGGTGACTGGGGAAGGTGGGGGGGAAAAAATAAAGACATTATTTTTTGCCACAATAAAAGCTAGATTGATAATCAAACACCAGCTACTCCATAGTTATAACAATGAATAGCAGCTAAATGTTTTCAATACTTGTTCTGTATTTATTTTTTCCATGATTCAGGGTGTCTACAGTGTAACCTGCTGAAATTCCTCATAATTAGGAAAATTATGCCCTAAGTGACTCATACTACGTTTTTAATTCCTTCATTCAGTGCCATCACCAGCTATAAGGCTCATTCACTGGTCAAGTGAATTGAGTCGTAAGCTTACCAGCAATAATGGAGTGTTGATGTCAATGTGCTCAAAGACTGTAAATTCTTTCTTGGTCTTCATGGGTAGGAGCCATGGCCTGTGGAGTTCTGCCTTTACCCAATAGCGCACGCTGCCATGTTTCCCTTCGAAAGAGGTAGCCAGAGGTCTGCAGGAAAAGAGCAGAGCAGGAGAGAAGGGAGAAATAATGTTATAATCACAGTTCAGCCAAAAAAAAAAAACCCCAAAATAAAATAACTGCAAGTCTCCTAATATTTATGAAACACTTACGTCTGTGGAAGCTCAAGGCTGAATGCATACTCATGTCTTCCTGAATGGATAGTGGTGAGTCCTTCCTCTGAGTTATCATCGTCTGAAAAACAAGGAGGACAATAGTCCAAACACATATATACCATACCTGCGTAAAATGCTCTACGAAGGCATCTGAAAGTCATACCAGAAAAAAAACAAAACAAAAAAACACAGGGTGGGGGAGAAAAAAGAGAATAAAAAGGAATTTACTATAATATCTGGCCGATTTTAAAATTATGTTAATGTATTGAGAGATAAACAGTACACCAATATTTAGAGGAAAGTAAAAGAAGTTGATTGTTTGATGGTGTCAGAAACGGAGCCCTTTTCCCTTCCTTCCTTCTTCTAGTGTTATTCACAAGAACAAAGAAGTGAATCAAAGAGATCCAATGTATGATGCTAATACATTGAGGCTATTATGGGCGGTGTGGAGGTTCGACAAAAATCTTAAATCTGCGCTTTAAAAATAAATAAATAATACATTAAAACAAAATCGGGCACAAGTACAGGAAACTGTGTTAGAATTTCACTGCCTAGCAGAAGAATGAAATGTAGTTTTCGACAGGGTTGTACAATTTCGAGTCTCGAACTGCATTTTCTTTTTTTCTTTAAATACATGAATATATATTTTTTTCAGTTAAAACACAAAGAGTGATTTTTGTAAAGAGCTAGGTGGACAGCTAGGGTGCGCTTCTGCCAGCTCAGCACTCCCTCCCTCCCTCCTCCCTCCTAGCAGCAGCAGCAGCAGCCGTGTGGTAAACAAGTGCAGAGCTGTCACTCAAACGGCAGACTCCAGCAGGAGGAGACCGGCCTAAACCGGAGCGAGCAGCTTCCCACAGCCACCCAGCCTTCATTACGCATTCACTGTGCGACACCGCAGTACCTACCGACCTACCTACTACACTGCAACAACGTATCAAAGAGCATACTCCGAACAACTGCAGCAATTTCTCCACTTTAAACGACAATCTTTCGATTTTATTAAAATTATTTTTATCGCTATCATTTTATGAGTTATCATGTTTGCTTAAGGGCTGAGCTAGTAAATATATGACGGTATAAATGTTACCTTCCGTTAACTGTCTGGGTTTCCTCCCCCTTTTTTGCACTAAAAAATGCACTAAATAAAAGTACAGAAATGACTGTTGGTTAAGCACAGTTAGACTGCTAAACACACCTATAACAAGACAACATTTCGCCTAGCAGAATACACGTTTACCAAGGGTTTAACCATAGGGATAAGTATAGGAACAAAGTATCAAGCACTGCAGCTCCTTATACGTTTCAAACCGCACGTACTTTCATCCGGTAGCTACATTTTACAGCTTTTTTTCCCCCTTCACTGAAAAGTTGCAGAATTTTCTGTCTGCAGGGTAATGATGTCATCAACCACAGATGAACATCGCAGCCAATGGCAGGCAGCCGGAGGTAGGGGCTTGCGTCTTTACCCCGCCTCTCCCGGTCCAGTTTTCTGAACAGGATTGAACCGCTTTGAACAATAGGGGGAAACTTAAGAAAAGCTACAAAGAAACACTCTTTAAGATGTGGTTCTGCAATGAAATACACTTACAGAGACTCTAAACACTGCTATATTTCTCTGGGCCTAATAAAGAGAAGCAAAAACAAAACCAATCTTACGCTGGACGTTAAATACTTCGAAAAATACATCGAGCAGAGCTGCTGTCATTCATTCTGACACCTTGACACAAACAAGCAACCACGGAGCTGTATGTTACGAGCGTAAAAACATCATACATACAAGCGCCGTCAGAAAATGCAGCATTATGAAAGTTGGTCAACTTTTTAATCGTGTCTATCACTCTTGTTATCCTTCAGCTACACCTTACACTGAGCCCGAGCCCACTAAGAGCATCTCACCCAGGTCAAGTGAGAAGCAAGAACTTCTGCAGGAAAATAAAATCAAAAAACAAGTCCTCACCTCTCTCGTGTCCGATTAGGATGTCTTTGTGGTTCAGATATTCCACTTCTTCTGTGTAGTTTTGCGTGTAGGCAGTGTTGGATCCAGCATTTCTCGATTCAGTCCAACGAACTTTTGCAAATCCTTTCGCGTGGATTTTGAGAGATTTCACACGGATTTCTCCGGTGACTTCAATGATCACCCTCCCTGAGACGCAGTCCCCGCTCGAGAAAACGGGGACATTGCTGTCATTGAGACAGTCATAGCTTACTGTGAAGCTCTTTACCTTTCCTAGCACCATGGTGGAAAGAGGCTACACAGACCTTGAAATACTAAAAAAAAAGAAAAGACTCAATGAAGAAATATCTCATAGAGCCGTTTTTCTGGACACTGATCAGTTTACCACCTCTGCAAAAAGCAGCAGGCACGATCAGTGGCTTCTTCGAGGGCAGTTCATTGAGATCTAGTAACAGCAACTGATGCTGTTATCATCTGCCTATCTGCTCGCTAGTCCCAGTCAGACAAGGAAACCCCGGTAGCTCAGCGCACTTTAAACGAGTGCCAGTGTGGGGAAAAACAACCTCTGGGCGCATGCGCGGGGCTTCACTGCCCCCTCCTTCCGCCTTCTGGAACAAGTGTGGCACACAACCAGATGATAAGTAAAGTCAAACAGCTGAAAGACTACACAAAGAAATGTTCGCCAAAAAATATCGTTTGAGAGGAGAGGCTTTAAATCTGATTCGATTTGTTGAAAATATACGAACAGATCTAACAAAAAGTATCACCCAGACTTATTTCCTAGACTTTTGGTTCAAAGAATGAGAGAAGAAATGTTATTAATGAAATTTTAATGAAATTACAGATGCCCTGGCTTTATGGTATGTGATGCAGCAACGATTCATGGCTCATACATCAGCTATGAATCTTCTTATAGGTCTACAGCTCTACAACCCCAGCCCTGCATCGGCATTTGTGCACACACACACACACATTACATCTGCGATGTAATCCACACAAATAGTTTCACATTATCAGATTTACTGCAGCGTCTGCATCTGTGCACAATCACCAAAAATAAGAAGAGCTCGATTTTGTTGGATGATGCCTGCAGCACTGTCAATAGTAGAATTGTTTCATAGTGTTTAGCCTGGGGGTCTAAGGTGAATATATCAGCCAGCTTCTTAAATATTCGCATCTAAATCAAACTTATTATTTTGTGGAAAGATTAAATGAATCCACGGCACGGCAGACATCATCCTTGTGCTGAAGTCCTAGTTTAAAGATAAACAACTCCGAGGATCAAGACGCCACCTCGCGGCGGTCGTTGTTCCCAGCGTGGGCGGCAGTATCACCTGTTGAACGTCACTGCAACTTACTGTTGGTTCAACCAACAGCTTGTTAGTGCCAAATGACATAACTTCTGATTTCAATTCAGTGATAATTACAGGGCATAAGATTATATTTCGTAATGTTATGTTACCTATAGCCATCTTTCCGAGAGCCTTTACAGTTATAGTTAGTTACACAGAAATTGCGATATGTCTCTGTGTCTATGGTCCGTATTTGGATCTACAGTAAAGATTGGCGCTAATTAATTAAACACAGATTGTATTTGATTAAGATTTCCATCCACACATCTTTTGCTTATCTAATTCGGGGTTTGGAGTTTGAATACATCAGTGGTGCGAATTTGTGGCCGAGCTCTTTTTAGGCTTAGATAAATGCTGCCCTCTACAGTTGGCATTTTGTAATGACAGGTTAAGGTAAGATTGGTTTTGATATTATTTGTGTTCTTGCTGCTAAGTTCTTCTCATCTCCTGCTGGTGTTAGAATTACTGACAGTAGGTGTGATTTATGTTAAATATTTGTTTTTACATTTTTTCCGCTTAAACGGTGATATTTGCATAAATAGTCCGTTTTTAATGCAAGTTAGAACGTCAACAAAAATGAAACCTCTTATTTTGAAAGCGTAACCGGGATGTGTACAACATATCAGGCTGAGGCGCTTGTAGGCGAGCAGGAACTTTGTGATGCCCACTAATAAAAGTCGAATGCTTTTCCGACGGGTCTTTTCTTTCACGTCTATAACTTCAGGAGGACACGAAGCTGTCATGAACATAATAGTGCTGGGTTTCATTTTCCTTTCTCAGCAATGTGGTCGAAGTATTTGCCAGAAAGCATCCAAACCCAACATTGTGATGGTGATGAGTGATGCATTTGTAAGTATGACTTAAATTTCAGTGCTTTATTACTAGATAGTTACTCTTAATAGGTTAAATCAGAATGAGAAAGCTGTATTGTCCATCAAAATTCAACAGCATTGCAGAGATGCTTTATATTTTGTGGCTGAATATTTCCTTGTTATCTTCATGTATAACTTGCATCTGTGTATCTTGATCCCCATATGATTTTTTGCGTCTCTTGAGGATGGTCGATTGTCCTTTGACCCTGGCAGCAAACTTGTACAATTGCCATATACAAACTATCTCAGGCAGCTCGGCTCCACCTTTCTTAATGCTTACACCAACTCGCCCATCTGCTGCCCTTCCAGAGCAGGTAAGCGACATATTTGCCCTCTAGAAAAAACATCTACTTTGACTTTCTTTTAAAATTGCATGTTGTGCTTAAACTTTGCTCTCAGCAATGTGGAGCGGTCAGTATGTTCACCTCACTCAGTCGTGGAACAACTACAAGTGCTTAGATGCAAACACAACCACGTGGATGGATTTGCTGAAGGAGAATGGGTATCGATCCAAGATGATAGGCAAGCTGGATTATACATCTGGGGCTCACTCTGTCAGGTACTGTTGTAAATGTAAGGTTTAACGTGTAGCATGGTCTCAGTAGGAAAACACTTTCGCTTTCCTCTTCTTATTTTTTTCCCCCAAATTAAGATCAATATTATGCACACACACACACACACACACACACACACACACACACAATCACACAAGGAAAAAATGCTAGTGGCAGTAACAGACTGTCTGTGTGCATTTGCATTTGTTTCCAAACAGTGCCTTTCACATTTTTCCACTTCCTGTTTTTGCACATGTGTTGCAGTAATCGAGTTGAGGCATGGACACGAGACGTCCAGTTCCTCCTGCGCCAAGAGGGCCGGCCTGTTTCTGAACTTGTTGGGAATAAGTCGACTGTAAAGATCATGAGCAAAGACTGGGAAAACACAGATAAGGCCACGCAGTGGATCCACCAGACAGCTACGTCCACCACACCCGAGCCTTTCGCTCTTTACCTTGGTCTCAATTTACCTCACCCGTATAAGACTGAATCCCTGGGGCCGACTGCAGGGGGATCCACCTTCCGTACATCACCATACTGGCTCACAAAGGCATGCTTTTTCCGTCTCTGTTTTTTTTAAATTGCACTTTGTGTCAAAAAAAAAAAACCCCTGAGTGAAACTAATTTTTGTGTTTTTTTCTTACGCACAGGTGAATTCTGACCTCATCTCTGTTCCCAAATGGTTGCCTTTGGCTGCCATGCACCCTGTTGACTACTACTCCACCTTCACCAAAAACTGCAGCAGTGTTTTTACCGACGATGAAGTCAAAAGCATTCGGGCCTTCTATTACGCCATGTGCGCCGAAGCCGATGCCATGCTGGGTTAGTTGACAGCAGTAATTCGCTACAGTCTGGTCTCACAGCTGCTATTTTGGACTGAAAAGATGTTTTTGAGATTTTAAAGAAGAAAACAAAACATGCCTGGAATGGTGTTTTCTTTGAGCTTACAAATGCAGTGTAGAAAAAAAAAAATACAAACCATCATTTATTTAAAAGTGGAGAGTTAAAGCATGTGAACCTCACAGACACACTGTCTGTGGCACTGTTATCTTTTCTCTGCTGTTTGAATAAAGCTTTTGATTGAATTCACAGACAATCCCAAAATGGATTGGCTCTTACTCCATCTTCCACATGCTCTGTCTCACCAGGTCAAGTGATTTCTGCATTGAGAGAGACCGGCGTGCTTAACAACACAGTCGTGATCTTTACGGCTGACCACGGGGAGCTGGCCATGGAGCACCGGCAGTTCTATAAGATGTCGATGTTTGAAGGAAGTTCCCACATTCCCCTTCTCATCATGGGGCCTGGGCTCATCTCTGGCCAGCAGGTCAACCAGCTTGTATCTTTGGTTGATCTCTATCCCACTGTGCTGGGTAAGGAGGCAGACAGACAACATAGGATGTTGTGGATCATCTGCCTCATGTCACCCTCTCCCTCACATCCTCCTCTTTCACACCAGCCCTCTGGATGTCCTTCTTCACTACATGCGCAAACCTTCTCTGTGGTCTTCCTCTTTTTCTCCTACCTAGCATCTTTTGTTCCATTTATCCACTCTGCACATGTCCAAACCATCTCAGCCTTGCCTCTCTGATCTCGTCTCCAAACCAGTTGACCTGTGCTCAGCTCAGCCTCCTGCCTTTTTTTCAGTGCTGTCACTGCTGTTTGACTACTGTCTATAAAAACAGCATGAAAGCGGTGGTAAATATTGATTTGATTATTTCAAATCGAAATTTGTGACACATTTTTATATTTTGCAGAGATTGCTGGGATTTCAGCAGTAGGGAATCTAAGCGGCCAGTCCCTCCTTCCTCTGCTGTCCACATCCATTGCTTTTTCTAACCAACAGCAGAGAGCCTGGGCATTCAGCGAATATCATGGTTGTAACGTCAACGCCTCTACTTACATGCTGCGAAGTGATCAGTGGAAATACATCACGTACGCCGATGGCCTGAGTGTTTCCGCGCAACTCTTTGGTGAGCCTAAAGCTTCTGACGCTAACTTCAGCTTGTCTTCGTATGTGTCTGTTACAACCCGGCTCAAAAGCCGCAACATAAAAAAGGAGACGAATACCAGAGTGTTAGTGAGAAGAGGTTTTATCTTAAAATGGCATAGCAGGTGAAATGGCTGGTGCCATCAAGGCAAAAACTAGTGAGTTTCTCGAAAGTCCGCCTCAGGTGTGCTTTTATCCACACCTGACTAGGTGTGGCCAGTTAGGGGCTGCAGAGGGGCGTAACAGTGTCCTTTAATTTTTTTCTTGCTTTTCTTTTTCAGATCTTACACTGGACAAGGATGAACTTCACAATGTGGTTCACAAATTCCCAGATGTGCAAGCACATCTGGAGAAGCTGTTGCGTAGCATCGTGGACTATCCAAAAGTGTCTGAAGCTGTTCACGTCTACAATAAAAAAGCATTCGGTGCATGGCGCCTTAACTTGGGGAGAAACTATAGTCAAGTCATTGGTAACCTCCGGTGGCATGTGGATTGGCAAAAAGATGCATTAGCCAACGAGAGAGCCATTGACAAGTGGCTCTATGGCTATTAGTGATATTTTATGTCTAATAACTATTAGAACAAATTGAAATTGCACTTTGATAAAGTTTGGATCTTTGTGTAAGTCATTGATCTGTTCTGCGGTGTCTCATGTTAGTACTGCAGTGGTTACAGTGATGGATAACCTACAAATGTCCTAGGCTCACAGTGTGACACACTTCAGTCTACATCTCTGACATCGTCCCCTTCATACAA